CGCCTTCCTTCCTCAGCACAGCGCTTCCCAGCCAGGGCTCTAGCGCATGCTTCTCACTGATAGCGCACAAGCGCCGAGCAGCACTTCCACACTTCTTGCGAATGAGCAATCTGTTTGAAATGAGGCTGACCAGTCTCTATATTGACTTGGACTGAGCCTTCACTCGTCCCAGCCTCTGCTTGTCTTGGCTTGACTTGGCCCTGGTACCGGCTGCCAGCAGCCTGTTTGCTTCAGAATGTAATGACCCGCCATAACACAGACTGAGAACACTGCTCATTTTCTGAAGTTCTGCCGATGGAATGGATGCCTTGCTGAGGTTCCCGCATTCTGCTGTGTTTTCTAAGTCTGTATGTGTGCGTGCCTGTTGACTTGCGTGCCTGTCTGAGTGCTTGTCAGCATGAGTGTGTGTGTGACCCCTAAGGGTACTTGCTTGTTTGACAGGCCCGTAGGGCTGGTACTTACCTGTGGCCATGGCATTGAGGGTTGCAGCAGGGAAAACACTCAAGTAGCGGAGCCAGGGGCCCGTGGTGCTTAGAGCAGCAGAAAACACTCAAGTAGCAGGTAGGCCGGTACCGCACCCAGTAGCAGTAGATGTGCCGGGTACTCGAGGCCGAGCAGAAGAAGACAAAGTTGGCATTTTTACAGGCCCAGTCACGGTAGGTTAGGTCTAGGCCGGTACCAGCCATCCAGTCTGAGTCTAGAGCCTGTACGGGCAATATCAGAGTCTGCAATGATGTTTCCCTCCGAAAAGGGGGAGGTACCGGTTGCTTGGGAGGCCGAGCGGCCTGGAAGTCACCGCCCAGGAGGCAAGCAGGCCGCTATATCAAGAGGCCGAGGCAAGAGCTCAGCCTCATTCTTCAGTGTGCAAGTTTGGCGACACGCTGCTGGAGCGCTCGCTGGAGTGGCGCTGGGTACTGCAGCGCTGCTGGGAGGAAGAAGCCGGGAGCTTCCACCTTGGCTATGGTGGAGCTTTACCGGTAGGAGAAGGGAGAAGGGGACCAATGAGGAGAGTTGTGGGGTACTTACCTGGCTATTGTAGACAGCATCTTCATCACCTTGTTAGGTGCTGCATCTGGAAGGCCCCAGTGGGGGTAGTGCCGCATCAAGGAAGCTGGGGACAGAGTCAGGCATGGCGGTTGAGTGGGCAGCGGCATAGCTGCATGGAGTTGACCTGGGGACAGAAGGGCAGCGACATAGCTGTTTTGGGTTGTCCTTTGGACAGGAGGGAGAGCCCTCAGTACTCCGCCATAGCCTGGGCCTGTATGTAGAGGAAGAGGAAGGGTGGCCATGGCTATGGTGGACCTCATGTTGTGTCTGCAGTAGAAGTGGGATTCGGACATTGATTCTGGTTCAGCCATTCAACATTATCTACCCAATACTACAATTCTCGATGGCCGCGGGTACTGTTCACTGGCCGACGATGCGATCGTGTGCGTTGGATGTGTGAGGTTTGCGGTGGGGATTGCTCTAGAAGTGTTTTTGAGGTGCAACGAGAACTGGTTGTGGGCGTGGATTGCGGTGGAGTCGTTCGATGTGTTGTGTTTTCTTACATCGCACGGTTTCATTTGTTTCGATCGTGTCGGAATTTTACATCGCAGGGTTGCAATTTTGCGGCTCGTGTCAGAATTTTACATCGTACGTTTTCTCGATAGTCTCGATCGTGTCCGAATGTGTCAGATTCGTTTAGTTTCCGAGTGGGCGAAGGTTGGAGCCTGCGAGAGGTGAAAGCAAAATATGTTGCTGAGTGTGTGGGAGATAAAAGCAAAAAATAAATAAAAAAAATCGTACGTTGCGTTTTTCGAGAGGGCGAACGTTCGGGCCCGCAAGAGGTGAAAGCAAAATATGTTGCTGAGCGTGTGGGAGATAAAAGCAAAATAAAAAAGAAACGGCAAAAAAAAAAATCGTACGGTTGCTTTTTTTTCAATCATGTCAGAATA